AGCATATTTGACAAATAAAGCTGACTTTGACTTTGAATGAATACTACCTGAGCTGGATTTATTGTGATTAATGATTATTTATTAACTAGGTGGTGCAAGAGCAAGGGAACCTTCCCACTAAATTAAGCTCTTGCCATCAAAGTCCCTTACCCAATAAGCTTCAGTTCCTCTTCTTTTTATACTTCAGGCTCTGCCCTACTTTGACCGTCTGGACTATGTTTCCATGATGTGTAATGAGCAGGCCTACTCTCTGGCTGTGGAGAAGCTGCTCAACATCCAAGCTCCACCCCGTGCACAGTGGATCAGAGGTACAGACTAGAAATGGTCAGGGTGTCTGCAGATTCTGCAGAGGCTTCCGATTTTAAATCAAATGGTTTTAGGCTTAAAATGTCTTATGTCTAACAAATAAGACCTCTGAATATTTTTTTGGAACCATTGAAATGTCATTATTTCAGCTTTAAATGGTGGTATGTTTTCTGTCTTATGTTTGTAGTTCTGTACGGAGAGCTGACTCGCCTCCTGAACCACATCATGGCCATCACCACACACGCCCTCGACATCGGTGCAATGACTCCTTTCTTCTGGATGTTCGAGGAGAGAGAAAAGGTTTAGGAGCGCCGCTGCATGATGTCATGCTCAATCCTTTATGATGCCAGCTAGCCTAGATGTATATAAATAATACAAACACCACTCAGTATAATGCAAACCAAACAGAGGTGTTGAATCCTCTCTAAAAACATTCTAACCTTCATGAAGGTAGGATTTATTTCAGAGAAGGAAGGTTTAGGTATCTGTTGAATGTTGACGACTTGAAAGTCTTCTAACCGTGTGATCCGTTGTTTCCTCTCAGATGTTTGAGTTTTATGAGCGAGTGTCCGGGGCCAGAATGCACGCTGCGTACGTCAGACCTGGCGGTGTTCATCAGGTGGGAGAATTCAATGAACAATGCTCTTGTCGTATCTGAGCGTGTTTGATAAACGCATCATGATGTCATTATAAACTGCTAATGATCTCAAATGCGCTTCAGGATTTGCCCCTTGGCCTGATGGACGACATCTATGAGTGGTGCAAGAATTTCTCCATCAGAATCGATGAAGTTGAAGAGGTGAATGACACTTGACGCTCTTAACAGGATGAGACAAAGCAAGGATGTGGTGAAGATCTATCTGAGAGTTAAAATCTCTTGGTTTTATTCTATGCAGATGTTGACCAACAATCGTATCTGGAAGAATCGTACTGTGGACATCGGGGTGGTTACTGCTGAGGAGGCCCTCAACTACGGCTTTAGGTAATCCACCAATGAAAATATACTCCTTTCCTTCAATTCTCCTTTTACAAAATTCACAAATATCTTAGGGCTACTACATTCACAGAGAGCCTCGGGCTAGTTGAAATATTCAAATTTAGGTAGTATAACATGAGTGAAATTTTGTGATACATTTAAAAAAACAGTCTGATTAGCAGAAATGTGTACAAACTGTCATTTTTATTGATCACCTCTCTCCTCCAGTGGGGTGATGCTGCGAGGGTCTGGCATCAAGTGGGACCTGAGGAAGTCTCAACCTTACGACAAGTATGACGAAGTGGAGTTTGACGTCCCTATCGGAAGCAACGGAGACTGCTATGACAGGTACGAGATTAGCAAATGGCTGTAGTTATTATTTTCTTGCCCCCTTTTTCTATCTCTAGTCAGGGGCCGGTTTCAACAAAACTGCAGCGTGCAAACTGCAACTTGTGACATGATATCATTTCCTCTGGTGTCAATGTGGACACATTAGGACAGTACTAAAAATAAAAACCCTACTTACAACCCATGTGTGAGTATGCAAGAAGATTGAATCTGCCATTTTTGTTTTTTGCCAATTAAGTTTGATAGTTAAACAACAAGTTTAATTATAATTAGATAACTGATAGTTGTTGATTGAAATGGGTTAAAAAGAGATGCTTGGTAGTGTGAGCTTAATTTTTGAGGTTTTCATTGAGGCAGCCTATAGGAAGTGGCTTCTATCTAGCACAGTTCACCGTGTCTTAATCACACAGTCTGAAAATGAAACAAATAGTTGTCAGTGTGAAACACAGTCCGGCCTGTTTTCTGTTTGTGTGGTCAGCTCCTCACCAGCAATCTCTACAGGACGACTGTTCATGGCTCATGGCTGATTCACTGATGCACAGTGTTATCAGCATCTATAGCTCACCGCTGTTTTACTGTGTGTGTGTGTGTGTCTGTGTCTGTGTCTGTGGTCTGTTGTGTTGTGTGTGTGTGGTGTGTGTGTGTGTGTGGTCCAGGTATCTGTGCAGAGTTGAAGAGATGAGGCAGTCCCTGTGGATCATGCACCAGGCGCTCAACAAGATGCCAGAAGGAGAGATTAAGGTGGATGACGCCAAGGTCGCCCCACCAAAGAGGTCTGAGATGAAGGTGAGCTGAGTAGAGAACTCTTCCTTTCAGTCTGTAGCCATGTTTACCTCCAATGTACCACAGATTAACCGGATTTCGTGTAATTTGGCAAAAGGAAATGAATGCTTGCTTGCTCTACGCCGTCATTGGGGTTTATTTAAGGAGCTTTTTGGTCCATCGAAGGTAAGCAACAGTGGCGCCAATTCTCCAGTCGGAAAACCAGATAAGGAGGGCAAAATGACGCGATTAAAAGAGCGTCTATAGACCCTTGAACACTGACAATGCAGAAAACTTGACTGAATTATTACATTCCTGTTTGTTTCGTGTATTATTGGGAAGAAGTCTATATCAGATCTGCGTGGAGCGGAAACAACTGATTCTTCTTCTACTTGTACTCTTTCTTTTAGTAGGCTAATAGGTCAGAGGATGACTTTTCTGTAAAATGAAATAAATTGTACTTGATTTGAACTGTTACCTATGTGCTGTGGCCACATTAATGTTACGTAAGAGGATGTCCGTAGTGAACTGTAGTCAATTTGCTGGAGACAGCAGAATGGGATGTAATGATATAAATATATTTAACTTTTCTTAAAAAAGAACAGGAGGCCTGATCAACTTTTGAAAAAGGCTAAAACCACCTCAAGCGA